AATTTTAGAACTAGGCAGTTTTGTTCGGAAATTATTCCCATTTTTCATATTAGACTATTTTTCACTCATATCTGAGATTAGGAAAAAGGATTTTTAGGGGATTCTTCATGAAGTTTTTTGGGTAGGTTTCTATATAAGTATTTTATAAATTTCTTCGACCTAAATTTTCACTTAGGGTTGCCTCAGATGGTGGTTCTATTATGTTGAAATGATATGCATGTTGAATATGTTTGTATCTTATGCCTTTTATACTAAAGTTCATGATATTTCTCAAAATTGGCATAAAGCATGGTTTTCAACCAAAATGTCCTTTTAAAGCATGATTTTTGCATGGTCATCATACTTGGTACATTTTTGTGTGCTAACCCATATTTCTTCTATTTTTACTACAAAGTGTAGGTTCCGGATCTTAAGGTGATTTCTTTGGAGTAACGCTTGGATTGACTAATCTTTAAGCCAGTGGTGAGTCATCAAGATTCGAGGACGTATGGGAGTCTTTAGTAGTTTCCTTTATTGTCATTTTAAGTTTCGAATTATGTTAAAGGGGTGTGACCCTATTTTTTATTCTAAAGATGTATTAGATGGCCATGTGAGACAATGTTCGACTTCCGTTGTTTTAAATAAGTTTTTAATTGTATGGATTAAAGTTTTAAATTCCGTACCATTTTTCATATGTCTTATGTTATGAATGCTATGAGGCTTGTATGAGGCTTTTCAGAGTCTTGTGTCGCATCCGGGGTGTAGGCTCGGGGCGTGACATATTAGGGCAACTTCACTCACCTCAAATCAGCCTATAGGAGATCTACACCTCCTACCATACAATGCCTCAAATGGTGCCATACCAATACTTGAGTGATAACTATTGTTATAGGCAAACTCAATCAAAGGGAAATGATCATCCCAATTACCCTTGAAATCTATCACACAAGCTCTCAACATATCTTCCAATGTTTGGATAGTACGCCTGCTTTCTCATTGATTTGAGGATGAAAGGTCGTACTAAGCTTAACATGAGTACCAAGACCCTTTTGGAAGGATCTTAAAAACAGTGAAGTGAATTGGGTACCACGATCAGAGATAATGGATAAAGGCACTCCATGCAACTTTACCATTTCCCTCAAGTACAACTTAGCATTGTCCTCCACCGAATAAGAAGCCTTGACGGGAATGAAATGAGCTGATTTCGTCATTCGATCTACTATAACCCAAATTGAGTCATGTTGTTGCCGGTTGCGAGGCAAACCAACAATAAAGTCCATATTCAAATCTTCCCACTTCCAAGTAGGAATTCTAATGTCTTGGGACAAAACTCCTGGTTTCTGATGCTCAACTTTCACTTGTTGACAGTTAGGACATTTAGCCACAAACTCCGCAATATCCTTCTTCATCCCATTCCACCAATAGATCACCCGCAAATCACAGTACATCTTGGTGGCTCTCGGGTGAATGGAATACCGAGAACTATGGGCTTTTGATTATACTTTTGATGTCAAACAAAATTTTAAAAAAAAAAGTTATAACTTTTACTGTTTTCTCTCATCATTTCCCATATTTTATATGATTCGTCTCAAAATCTAGCAACGTCGAAGCAAGCACACTAACTTGGTAATATGATTGTGTTTTAAATTTTGCGTTTTATTAAATAACACTTCTTCATCTCCTTTGTGTTTTAAATTTTGTTTAACCTACTTTTGCATTTATAAAAATAATATAATTGTTGCTACAGTATGACGTTGCCTAGATTCTTTATGTTTTTTTATATAACACAATGGTATACTTTATTTCATTAAAATAAAACTACATCTATCAATTAGAATGAAAAGATGTGTGAGCACTGCACAAATGTATAAATTGACTACCATAGACACAATCCATAAGGATGAGTAACCCCCCCCCCCCCCCGCGTTGGAGGCGTGGAGAACACAGACAACTTGTTTAATGTAGTAGAATGCTTAATCCCAATCAATGTCTTTGTCAAAATGCCTGTTGATTGTTGGAGTTTATGTGATGTAGTGACATAAGACCTGCTTGTAGTTGATTCCTCATAAAATGACAGTTGAGTTCAATATGTTTAGTTCATTCATGGAATAGAGGATTTCGAGCAATATGGAGAGTTGATTGACTATCACAATATACACCAATGGAAGTTGATAAGGGCACTGTGAGCTCTTCAAGTAACCTTTTGAGCCAAACCAATTCACCTGCAACCTTTCTCAAGCCTTGTACTCATTCTCAACTGAAGATAAGGATATGGTTTCGTGTTTCTTGGACTTCCAACTGAGTGGATTGTTACCCAATAACACAATATAGCCACATACTGGCTATATTGTAACTGGATCTTCCACCCTCAACACCAATAACTGGCTCGACACCTAGAACTCCTTAAAGAACAAGAAGTTCAACCAATGGCTAACTTGAAATGACATCACCCCTTCAGCATTTGGAACCTATGCACCAGCAGAAATGACAATGGTTTCAACAAAAACAAATACCATATCAAGGTCAACCATGTCATCGTAAGTGCGATAGGGTGGCATATCTTGGCCAGAAGGAGTATGGAAAAACATAGGAATAACATAACCATCAAGGTTAAATGGGAACCACCAACTCGAGGCACTTACAAGCTTAATACTGATGGTTCTACAGAGGCAAGTCCAGGCCCTGAGAGAGTAATTATAGACCGCAATGGCCTTTGAGTTACGAGGTTCAATAAGAAATGCATCCACACCAACCCCCATCAAGCAGAACTCTTGGCAATTCTATTTGGACTTACGCTTGTGAAGAGTAGAAATTTAATTCCCCTGATCTTGAATACTGACTCTACCAATGCAATCTCCATGTTGCAACATGATCATTTACACTACACTAACATAATTTATGAATGGAGGTCTTTAATGCAATAACTGGATGTTTCGGGCCCCAAGACATATCTTCAGGGAGCAAAATAGCATAGCAGATGCACTGGCAAAAGAAGGAACCAAAAAAGGCAGGTTGTTATGCTCCTAATTTTTTTATTTTTTTATTTGAAGTTCCACCTTTGTGTGCCATGGACGCCATGGAAACAAACAAGGCTGGAACTTGTTTTTATAGGAGCATTTCTTTAACTAATTATGACACTAATGGCCATATAAAGGGCCAACTTTCAGCTATGGGGAATGCCCCCAGTAATTTATGTATTAAACAACTAAGTCTTTTTTTCTAGTTATATATAAAGTATCTATTATTACCCAAAAAAAAAAAGTAATTCACTAGTAGATGTTTGCCTAGTTACGTAATTTATAGAAATAAGTATTGAAAACACTCCTAAATTTGGCGTGAATTATTATTTTAGTCTCTCAACTATTGACAGCCTTAAAAACATCCTTCTATTTGATTAAGTGAATTTAAAAACACCTCTCTTATGCTACATGTGCATATATGTGGCATTTTCTGTTGACGTGGCATACACATACATATATGTAAAAATATTTAAAGAACATTTAAATAATTAAAAGTTAAGAATTTAGCAATTTAAGAAGATAAAAGAACTTTTTTTCTTTTTAAAAATTTATTTTTTTCTTATCACCCCACTTCATCCTCTACCCAGTACCCCTAGCCTCACATCTCACTACCCACCTACCCCAAAAAAGTCTTTTAATTTATTTATTTTTTGAGAGGAGAGGGGTGGGATAAGAAAATATATATTTTATTTTAAAGTAATTATTTTCTTGAGGGGGAAAGGGAGGAGTCGGGGTACTCGGTGGTGTTGGATAAAAAGTGTTTTTTTTTAAAAAGCTTTTAAAATTTTTGGGGGGTGAAGGGATGGGGGTGGATGGTGGGGTTGGGGTTGGGGTACTTGGGCAGGGGATGGGGTAAGGTAAGAAAAAAAATTAATTTTTAAAAAGAATTCTTCTTTACTAAATTTTAGCATTTAATTATTTAAATGTTTTTTTCTCTTTTTTACTCTATATATCTATGTGTACGCCACATCAACAGAAAGTTTCACATATACGCATAGGTGGATGACATGTGGCATAAGAGAGGTGTTTTTAAACTAACTAATCAAGTAGACGGGTGTTTTTAAGGTTGTCAATAGTCGGGGGACTAAAGTAATAATTCACGTCAAGTTTAGAGGTGTTTTCAATACTTATCTCTAATTTATATAGCACAAGTTATTAAATGATCATGTGTTCGTTCTTCAATTACATGGAGATTTAATTATATTGTGTTACAAAATTAGATGATAATAGAGATTTTGATAACGGAATGAGATCCGATATACTAATAATATAAGTCATATTACAATATATGTGATTAATATTTTTTTATATTATCCACGCATCGTGCAGGTATATATACTAGTTTTAATTATATTAAAAGTCCTTAACATTTCAAACTTTAAAATTAATTACAATTTTATTAAGTTATAGCAATTTTCTTCTTCTTTTTTGAAAATAATTAGAAAATAAAATTAAGTTTTTGTCATGACTTTCATTAGGAAGGAAATATTAACTTGAGATGGATAGAAGGGGTAAATTTTTATGGATCAAATTTGGTATATGTATATAAACCTAAAAATATAAATTATGGATAATAACTTAAGGATGTCTCTGTAATGCTTCTTTTACTGAAAAGTAATGAGTTGTAAATTGCAACAAATAAGTAGAGGCCAGTATGAGTTGCAACATTTGTTATTAATTAATGCAATACACATGTACAAAACACGTATATTTGACTAGTATGAGTTTAAATGAATTAACATGGTCAATGAAAATTCATAACATCGATTTGTTTGGAACCGAGGCATAGTTGTTGTGGTACTGTTATCATCCGGTCTGAAGCGCCAACCCCAACTTGAGCCTTGAAGCACAGTGCTTAAATAGACCAAAATCACCTATAAGGCTGAAATTAACAGATACCAATTTAGTGCACAAACCTACTGGCTGGTCTCAATCTGGAAAATGTTGGAGGGAGATATACACTGACAATTTAAATAGACTGTTATCAAGAATGTTAATGTTCTATTCCTTGTATATTTTTTCAATAAGCTGGAGTAGGATGCTTTCTAGTTCTTCCCCATTCCTCCATTCATGACAGTCTGCTTTCAAAAGATTTAGATCACTTAGCAGGCGATCCCACAATGGAAAGCCCTTCCTTGGCATTACATGGTCTCCTTTATCGAGCTTCAACGTTGGGCAGTAATCACCTCTCCCATCTCCAAGATATATGAATCTTGATTTCCCTTTCTCACTCATGGAAGCTTGGATCTGCTCAATAACAAGACCCTACGCAAAAGAATAGCTGATATTTTAGATATTTGCAACTTGTAGCGAATGCATTATTGGGACTAGTATAGCAAAATTTTACTACTTAATGGTAAGAATCACATCAAAATGTCATGGGAGGCAATGTTAGTAGCAATGAAAATATGTCTTTAGATCATTTGAAGAACCCTGTGAGACATGGTCAAAGACAAAGGAAATAAAGACGCGACCATAAACGCCTGCAAGCTTTGTAGTTCTAAAATTTCCTTCACCTATAAGGTATAATTTAAGAAGGCTGCATTCACAATTTCATCAATATAACCTTCACAACAGCTAACCACAGTTGTTATCGAAGATGATACAAAACTAATCAAGGGTCAAGCAGAAATATCTTATGCATGGGAGATATCAAGACTTGAAAGTTCAAGCATACTTGTTTTGAAATGGTAAGAGAGATAGACACAAGGAGCATTTTCCACGGGATCATACGCCTTTGCAAACTTAATATGGATTAAGCAAGTAAAAACAAATTAAAATGAAAGGAAACATCATATAGCAATACACGAATGATCTCAACAGCTACAAGTGTTGACTACAAAATTGGGAAAAGTGAAACAAATCCATTTCATTTGAGACTTGCAAAGTTTTGATGATTTTTCTTATTTCTATAGAACACATCTAGCATGAATTATAGGAATTCATCATCTGACCACAAAACTACTCGAGCATTGAGATGAGTAATTTCTTCAAGTTTCAGAGAATGACAAAATGGATGTTAGGATACCTTGCATAAGTTAGGAGGGCATAGATTACACCCATGAAAAGAAGTCATATCATGGTAAGGAAAGATCCTCAATCTACCTTCTCCATCTACTGATGTTGGGTTAGTAATGACCTCCGAGAAACATCTGTATAATCCGTGATGTTTCAATATAGTCTTGATATAAAACTGATTGGCATCACTAACTACTTTTAAGTCACATCTGAAATAACCACAAATGTAATTAGAAAAAAGCAACAATTTCATGGAAATATCTAATATATCAATCAAAATGACAATTTAGAAATACATACCCGAGATCATGAGCTGATTGTATGGCTGAAATTGTCCGAGGATGCAACGGAACTTGCTTCAAACATTCAGCTATCTGCTCAACAGTTTTACCCTGTGAATGCAGCTCCTCCATCATCTTATCCTAAACACCAGTCACTACACATTGTTAGGAAATGATAGTTGAATCAGAAAATAGTAACCAATCTAGCTATTGAAAAACAAAATTCTGCTGGATAACCCACCAACATAACACTAATTGGGGTTACAAATCAAAATACCAATATTGTTAATTAAAAAACCAAAAACAAAAGAAAAATCAAGAGTGACCATGAGAGCATTCCAAGGTAAAGTTGGTCGGAGCTGGTTGAACAAATGGGTTAGACCCATATTCTCGACGACCCATCTATCGCTGTCATCGTCAATGAGAGTCCGATCAAAATCAAATACAATCACCACCTTTACCCCAACCATATTCACTGATTTCCCGGCGTTAAGTAGATCCGGGAACCACTGAGTTTTCGTAACTTCTCCGAATAAAATCCACAAATTTGGATGTCTTAAAAATTTTTGCTTATAAACACTACTCTAATGATAAATGTAGTTGAATTATTTTAAAAGATAAATGTGTTAAAGTTGTAAGATTTTATTAATACAAAATTAAATTCAATTATTTTATTAGATAACTTTTCATAGTTCGGTGACCTTTTAAGATATTAACTTTGAAAATTGTGAATGCTACTGTCACAAATAAAAAATTGATGTGATGACACTTGTATATTTTCATCAAGACAAGTCAGCATCAACCCAATGAAACGAAAATAAATGAAAAGATAAAGCAAGAACAAGATAAAAGCGGAAAAACTTATTTTTTCTATTAAAACCACAAAATCTGGTTGTCACGTGTACAAGCTACAAATACATAAAGTACGAAATTAAGAAATAAGTACAAGTCTCAACCTTTGTTTCTCAAATAGAACAAAGCGTAAAGAAAAGGAAAAAGAGGATCCACCGGAATGACAATCAACTACCTCTCAATAGTCCTTTCACAAGCCTCAGAAAATAGGAGAAAAAGGACGATCACACAGTAACGGGCTCGGAACTTACACAAGTGTAGAAGAAAGGAGAGAGTACCAACAATATGGTACCCAGCAAGCAACCTAATAAACAAAGCAACTAGCTAGAAATTGAATACTCCTTCCATTCCAATCGAACCTCCTCAAACTACAACCTACACAAAAGTCAGCCCAATCTAACAGTTATACAATTTACAGGTCAGAAGGCTCAATAGTCATAATACAATAGTCACAATTCAACACGCATCAAGTAAGTCGATCTCAATATCAAGTAGATCAATCACACGTAACAAGTTCATCAATCACAATTAACAAGTAAGTCACACATAAACATCAAAATGCATCAAATCACATAATTAATCTCTAGCTGGAACCATTTTTCATCAGCTTTATATCAACTCACTAGTCGGAAATGACCTAGACATCACAAACACTTGCCAGAAATGAACTCGGCATCATAGCACTTGTCGACAGTGACCGCGACATCATAAACACTTATCGGAAATGACCTTGGCATCATAACCCTCACATGTCTCATCACAGTGTCCAGCAATCAATGCGCACAAGCAATATCACACCACACGGAAGAGACAACAATTTATGCAATCCAAGTTCACATTTATGCTATCAAGTATTTCTTCAATCAATCAAAAAGGGGTCATAACGAAGCGATTTGCAAACATTATGATCAACACATAACTTTTACATTTCAATCCTTTTTTTATTTTTTAAGATTTATCACGTGGACAATTAACCATTCACCTCATTTTCATTACTCCCAACACACACACACACAATGAAGGGAATACGCAAATTCTACTAGATTACAAGGCTTAGGAGATCATTTTTCTTAAATCAATCAATTAATCCCTCCAAGAGTTGAGTCTTCCCATTCCAATTAATGTCAAAGGCCACACAATCTAAAACAAATAAGTATTCACAATAAATTTGCGGAAACAACAATACTCACATCATTCACTTTGAAAAATGGGTCAATTAACTCAAAATTCAAATTCAAAAATAAGGTTTGAATTTGAAATTTACTACTTGAAAATGTTACTCAAGGCCTTAGGAACTCATTTGTCACGACTCGAGCCTACCCTCTGGACGCGAGCAACACTCGAGAATCATTTTTGATCCACAAGCGAACCCTTGGCCTGGCTAACTATGACTCATGACCCTTAAAGATACGCAGAAGCTTAAATAGATGAGATTTAGACATTCAAAGAGAAGTTTTAAAAACATTGTCTTGTAATACTTAACATAATTCATAAGTTAAATAAACATCATGAGAAATAATAGGAACATCTAATTATGTCTGTCTATATGAAGCCTCTAACTATTTCAAGATAGATGTTGGGACAAGACCCATAATGCCTTAAATACTACTAAAACTGAAATGAAATTGGAGTCTCCCGAAAGCAAGGAGGCCTTACCAAATACTGTCTATGAGTGTAAGATGATCTGAACGAAGTGTTTGTTGATAATCCTGAACACTTGTATCTACATCATTAAAGATGCAGGTTGAATGGCATCAGTACATTGAATGTAAGAGTATGTAATATGGTTGAAAGAACAATTAATTGAACTGAATGACTGAAAGCAACTCAATTGAATCAATACATAAACATGATGTGAAAATAATTTAAACTTTACAATAAGATATGCAATAAAAGCAATATGAAAAGAATATACTTTATTTGTTGGGAGTTTCTTTAATCGACAACCATTACCATGAGCCTAGTAATGATACAATGTTTCACCCATGGTTCTAGGGTCATCCTATACTTTGTCAGGGTATAGGATGATATGATACTGTAACTATGGATCCATCTAATAGGCCTTCTCAGAGTCAGTGAAGAGCGACAGGATGAATCAATGCTATTCTATCTTACGTTGGCTACGTTGTTTTATGGGACTTTTGAGTTATAAAAGACTCTAACCCGATTTGATGCTCGATACTACTCCCAGAATAATAAATATCAATTATTCTATTCACCCTTTAGAAAGAAAGGGCTATTACTTTACTGAAGTACTTTTCAAAAAAAAACATAACTCATACTTGCATTTACGTATACTTATGGACTTATCTTTCAAGTTCAAGATCAATATGCATAGCAACTGAAAACTCTTCTTTTTTCTGAAAATAGACCCCTTAAACCTTTCATGTAAACTCACTTTAGTTTTGAATGCACGCTAAGACACGTATTAGGATGTGTAGGTATTTTCAAAGGTAAATGGAGTTTATAGGAGCTAATCTAAAGAGGGGAAACGTAGCCACAACTTAAAGGAACACGCCCCGAAAGAAACAAGGAAGAATTAATCCAGGCGACCCCTAGCACATTGCTGGTGCGGGGTGCCAGGCACCAAACTACTGAACGCCAAGTCTGGAGAGCCACCCCATGCCCTGCCCAGTACCCTAACGATTTTTTCATCCTAAATTAGAACCCCACATTAGTTTAGAATTGGGAAATTGTTTCTAAAGTCATCTTGATTCTCAAACCCAACACGAATACATGAGAACTTTCATACAATTCCTTTGGAAACATAACTTTATCAAATCAATAGGGTTCATGTGACTGTAAGCATGAACAACACTATAAGATTCACAAAACAAAAGAATCAAAACCCCAATTGTTAAATAACCGGATTCAAATATCAAGAAATACAAATGGATCCTTTAGATGTAACAATTTCTTCACCAAATTGAGATGTAGGACGTGAGAAAGAAAAATTCCATCACTGTGAGAAGCCTTACATACCAAAAAAGAATAATGTTCTTGGCAAAAATCATTGGAATCTTGAAGAACGCCTCAAACCTAGATTTTTCTCCTCTTGAAACTTTACTCTAACTTCTCTAAGTGTTAAAGACCGTGAAAAATTGAATTAATGGTGTTTCAAACCTTAATTGGGTGAAGAAAAATGTGGCTAGGATTACAAGGCATGGGAAAAGACCAAACAACCCTTCTAAAAATGATTGAGATGCCTTAAAAGAGAGGTCTTCACTAAAACGGGAATAAATTTTTACTTTGAGCTCAAAATCAAGCAAACTTGGCGGCGTTGAAAAGAGGACTCAAAAACCTTTAATTTGATAGGTCATGAGCCACCTAATTCTTTATGTTTTGAGAAATATTTTCATTTGAAGTAGACCCAAAACTAAAAATTGATGGGTGACTTACACAAACCCCTTTTTAGCCCTTTTCAAAGTCCAAGTGTTATAATATCTCCCCCTTGGAAATATTCGTCCTCGAATGAGATTGCTAAGCAAAATAGGGGGAGTGTCTAACAACCCAACTCAAGAACAAAACATGTAATTAGCATAAACTCAACATAACAACTTAAAGAGAACTTTACAAAGAGTTAGTACCTTAGTCTGGAATTGATTCGGAAGGAAAAAGTTGAGGGTACCTAGTCTTCATATCCTCCTCAGCTTCCCATGTTGCCTCCCCAACAAATTGATTCCTTCATAAGACCTTGACTGATGCAACCTCTTTGGTTATCAACTTGCGAAACTAACGATCAAGAATCTGAATGGGAATCTCCTCATAAGATAGGTTGTCCTTGATACCAATGTTTTCGGTAGGTACAATAAGTGAAAGGTTGCCCAAACACTTCTTTAGCATAGATATGTGAAATACCGGATGGACTACTAGTAACTGTGACGGTAGCTCCAACTCATAAGCTATGTTGCCAACTCTCTTGGATATCCTGTAAGCACCAATGTAAAAGGGATTGAGTTTTCCCTTCTTACCAAATCTCATAGCACCCTTCATAGGTGAAACCTTCAAATGGACTCAATCATTAACCTCAAATTTCAAGTCTCTCCTTCTAACATCTGTAAAGGATTTCTAACTACTTTGCGTTGCTTTTAGCCTTTCCTGAATAGTCTTCACTTTCTTCATGCCCTCAACATATTCTCTAGGGTCTGAATTGTGCGATATGCGTGGCCATCCGTCTGAGGATTACAAGTAGTACTAAGGTCTACCTTTGAACCCAAACCTTTCTGAAAGGACTTCCAAAACTGAGCGGTGAATTGTGCACCCCTATCCAAAATGATAGACACAAGGACTCAATGAAGTTGGTCTATCTCTTGGATGTATAATCTGACATAATCTTCTACTCAATTTGTGGTCTTTACTAGTAAGAAATGGGTTGATTAGTCATTCGATCTACAATCACCCAAATCGAATCATGATGTTTGCGAGATCGCGATAAACCAGTAATGAAGTCCATATTAATCATTTTCCACTTCCATTCTAGAAGAGTTATGTTCTAAGCCACACCACCTGGCCTTTGGTGTTCTACGTTGACTTTTTGGCAATTTGGGCACAACAAAATCTTCAATGCACCTCTTCATACTATTCCACCAATAGACTTCTCCCAAGTCATGGTACATCT